AGTAGAGACACATATGCACACAATTTTTTTTCTTTTTGCTAAATTTAAGCATTTTTGTCATAATTGTTTTTTAGGCAGTGTTTCTACATCATCTTCAGGTGTCTTATCTACAGAACCAGGTATGCTAATGCTGTGTACATGATTGCCTTTTTATATAATAGAATCACAGTTTGTTGTCTCAATCAGTGCGATACAGAGAGAAAGGTAAGCCTTGCATCATCTGGTGTTTGTGTACTCAGGGAATAATATTGCCACAAATGTACACTGCTGCTCTGGCAAACATTGCAAACGTGGTGACAAACTACATCTTTCTTTACTGGCTGGATCTTGATGTTGGGTAGATATACTCATCTCAACTATCATTTTACACACACACACACATGTATACAGAAAAAAAAATGACATACTGGACTATCTCTGTGTCTTTGCATATGGCTTTCAGTGGCTCTGCAGCAGCCCACACTCTAGCTTGGATTTACATCTGCGCTTTTCTGTTTGTGTACATCTGGTGGAAGAAACTCCACGTATCAACATGGGGAGGTGAGATATTTAAAATGCATGCTCTCTCTGTGCTTGCACTAAAAAGTTCTATATAAACTGAGCGTCTCTCTCCCCCTGCAGGCTGGTCTGCAGAATCACTGCAGGAGTGGGGCTCCTTCATGAAGCTGGCCATTCCCAGTACCTTAATGACTTGTTTTGAGTGGTGGGTTTATGAGTTTGGAGGATTCTTTGCAGGTAATCCCTATTTATGGCGTGAAATATATATATATCCAATTATCATGGAATATGTGCAATATACAGGATTAAATCAGTAAAGCCTGCTTCTAAGATAATTGGGTTTAGAGCTGGCAATACAGTCTGCAAGGGCTATAATTTATTCTGTGTCTGTAATGATCAGGAATGCTGGGTGAAGATGAGCTGGCAGCTCAACATGCTGTGATAATGGTGGCTTTCATTACTTACATGGTACTGTGTAGTGACTGCAAATCAGAACATTACATTGTCGCTTCTTTCATAAAAAGTCTCAAATTTGGGTGATTTATTTAACTTTTTCAAAACAATGAATCCATAGTTCCCTCTTGGTGTTCAAGCTGCAGCATGTGCCCGTGTGGGCAATGCTCTTGGGGCTGGAGACACTGACAGGGCGATTCTATCAGCCAAGTTGTCACTGGCTCTTGCAGGTTAGCTAAATGTGTTCTTCTGTGGTCTCTGATATTTATGAGTATTTCAAGTTAGATTTTTTTTCAGTATGACAGATTACTTACCTTTCCAGGTAGTTTTGCTGTTGTTGAAGGCCTCTTCCTGGGTGCTACTAAAACAATCATTGGATTCATCTTCACATCTGATGAGTGAGTCTGTGTACCTGTGTACCTAAACACCTGCTTATACAGTAGAAACTCTATACATGAGACTTTGGCTTAATTATCATTACAGAAAAATTGTAGCTCTGGTGTCACAGTTGATGAACGCTTATTGTTTCCTTCAATTTTTTGATGGCCTTGTGGTGAGTCTACCAGCTCTCGTTGTATTCAAAGCAACTATATTTGCAGCATGATTCCAAAGGATTCATGTCAAATATGAAATTTGTTTTCCCCATCCCAGTGTGTGTGCACAGGCATCTTCTTGGGTACTGGCAAACAGAAGATACCAGCTGTGGCTAATCTCATTGGATACTACTGCATAGGGCTTTCATTGAGCATCACTCTGATGTTTGTTGTAAAACTAGGAGTGCTAGGTAATTACATCAAGTGGTCATATTTTGTTAAGTTCATAGACATGCAAGAAGAATAAATTGTTGCCTAGCAAGAGCCAGTTATTACAACTGATGCTCAGCGGGATTTCAACAGACCCATTTGTCATTCTCTCTGCAGGTTTTTGGCTTGGACTGCTCATTTGCGTCGTCTTACAGTCCACCTTTTACATCATTGTCATCTTCAAGCTGAACTGGAAGAGAATGACAGATGAGGTATATTAACTGACTAATATAACAATCAAGGTCATGCAGGGACTCAGCTGTTCATATACAGACAGAGATTTGTTGTTTTAATTTTTTGAGGCATCTGTGAGTGAGACAAAGCTGTACGTGAATATGGAAAATTTTGATTTGGTTTTGCAACTTTTCTATTTTTCAGGCTGTGAAACGAGCTCAGAGAAAGACTTACATGACGGCATTAGGCATGGATGTTGTTTCAGACATTGGCCAAACATCAAGCAATGGGAATGTAAGTGGTCCAATCTAAATTGGTTGATGTGTCTTGTTCTACTTTGTTATCAGAGTAGAAGTAGCACTTCTACTACTTCTAGTACTTTGTTCTATGTTTATTCTTACATTTCATTGCATTTATCTTTATTTAACTTAATAAAATAATGGAAAATACAATTCCTTTAAGTCAGTAGATGGCTACACACCAGTGAGTACCAAGTGCCAAGCGACACAGGACGAACACGTGGACCACGACCCGAAGAGCAGCCATCTCTCCATCACTCAGTTGATCATCAGGCGAGGCCTCACTATGTTTGCAGCAGTTGGACTTCTTGCTGTGGGAGTAGGTGTGTACTTCCTTGTGCCTTTGCCAGAGATGATACCTGCAAACTCTACAATGGACAGGATTAATAGTACAGATACTCCTGATCAAATCTCCACCACTGTGCTGGTCACATTAGGGAGATAGCGTAAAAACACAGTGTTAAGCTCTTACAGAATGATTGTCTTGGACTGTTTCAGGACCCAACTGTAACAGATGTGATTCAAAAATAAGGTGAATTAATGGTGTTGGGTACATTTCATTTTCTTCAAATTATCATCATTATTAAGTAATAAATGACCTATTTCATCACAAAGTGATGAATGTGTATCTGATTGTTTTATCAGCATTTTGTTTTTAAGAATACATGTCAACAGTTGCTAAGTATAAATCCTGCCTGGAGATGAAAATTAAACTTTGTCTAATGACCAAAGAAATAATGTTGTTGACAGAAATGTAAATAGATGTTCCATTTTAATTATTTAAAAAAAACATTCTAGGTTGAACTCTTCTGTGTGAATTTTTTTAGCTTGTTTATTTGTTTGTTTTTGTCGTGGTGAAGCCAAGCTGTTTATGTGGGGGTGGCCAAACTCAGACTGCATGATGCGGGATATAAAATAGAGTCCAGTTATTAATTTCTTTCTCCTTTTTTTCTGCATGGAAAAAATGAAATCATGAATTTATTTCACTCAATTTTTTAGAAATATTTTAAAAACATATCTAATGTGTTGCTCAGGTGATAAGAATTTCATGTCTTTGCACTGTTAAATGGAAAGCTGTAAAAAACAGCTGTATAGAAATGTTTCTGTCTCAAAAATAGTTATTGGATCCTGTTCTAAGAGTATGCACTTGTCCCCCTAAAAGCCTTCACCCTCATATATGCAGTGTTGGGAAGGTTACTTTTAAAATGTATTCCATTACAGA